GTCACCACCTCAGTGTATTTACAATGACACCAGTGGTCACTCTGGAGGGGGCTTTCTAAGGCTGTGGTGTTGGCCTTTAGAGAAGTGAAAGAAGCCCCCCCCTCAGTGTGTTCTGGATTTTCTCCAAAGTGTTCAGAAAACAAGATGGTTTTCTGGAAAATTCTTCATTTCCCTTGTGTTGAGCCCTGTCTTTGTCTTAGGCTGCTCCAGCTCTTTAAACCAGGTCGCTTAGGGTCGCCCCACAGCCTGCCCGCCTGTCCCCTGTTACATCCTGATGCCACGCCTATCTGTGTCTCGCTGTGTGTCTCTGCGAGTTTATGCTTTCACCATCTTTACATCCTCTTTTATTTTGAAGGTTCGTTTCAAATGTGGCAAACTGCTGCCTTTTTTCCTTTCCTTGCCCTACTTATCTTGGTTGAGTTCGCTCTCACCGGTGTTTGGGTTTAGTTTGGGTTTTTCTTCCTCGATCTTCCTCGCGCTGTCTGTTGTTGTTTACTCTGTCTTTTTGTATTTGGGTTCCTTTGATGGTTTTCCTGCCACCTCAGTGGAGTGTTGAGACTAAACCTGAGTGTTCAGCCTGAAGGGATTTACTGCAGCCTCACAGCAGTGACATTGAGAGAGAATAAAACTGCCATATTTTGATGTATGAATCACAATGTGGATATTTTCTCATGGCGAATGACTTTTTGTTCATTGACTGTGTTTCCTAACGTTTAGTCTGCCTCTAACTGCTCTGATAGGCGAGGTCAGATACAACCACTGGCATAATAACCAATCAAAGCTGAGCTTCCCTCCAGCTAATCAAATCTGGTAAAACCCTGCTTTGCTAGATTTGGACTTTTTAACCACCACATTTTACACACAGAATGACTCGTCTTCAAACGAGTGTCACATTATAACATCAGGTTATCTTCATACTTAGCTGCTATTTGCTGACAGCTGCTCTCTGCACAGTGCCAGAAGTTTGCTTCAAAAAAAGAGAAATCTTACAGCTGAAGAGCCTCTCCAACATAGTTAGCACTCAGCTGACTATGGGCGCTTCAGCAGCGCTGACAGTATTGAGAATAAAATCACATACCTGAAATGGCTGCTGGCCCTCTAATCGAACTCTAATGCTTTCTTAAGTGCTGTGACTGTAATCTGTGGAGTGGACTTTGAGGATTGGACTCCAACAGTTCGGCTGCCACTTTCATGGCTTTGTCAATACATCCCCTGAGTTTCTGTCTGGGGTGGGGGGGGGGCTACTGTGATGAAGCCAATTTTAGTCCTCCTGCAGCAGCAGAATTAGCAATGATGGATCACTTCTGGACTTTGACCTCAATAAAAAATGAAAATATTAACTGATAAATAATAAATAACAGTTCTTTTGTGTTTGTCGCTCTAAACGTTAGACTAGTGCATCTTCTAATAAATGTGGTCCTGCTGTAGCAGCCCTTTGTTTAGAGGGTATTTTCTACAAATCTATTTACACATTCAGTTAATGACCAAAGCTGCAGAGCGAGTTCTTGAAATTTCCTCGGGGATCTTGGACAACAGTTAGCCCTGGTTTGCCCTGATAATCGCTGCGTGCTACAGGGGAAGCTGCGATACCAGTCTCTCCCACAAGGGCTCGGATAATAACTCGTGTCCCTCGCCAGCAGGATTGCATTTCATAACCCGATCAAATTAGACGCCGATTGGATGCCGAGGAATTAGCTCAGCCTTGAATATGAGACTGCCTGGTCAATATGCATAGATGACAAGAGACGAGAAGTGTATGTAAGAGAAACCAGAGGAGTGCAAAGGAAGGATGCTGGAGTCCAGAGGAAGCGGGAGGAAAATGAAGGCAAGTGCAGATTGTAGTTCCTCACAACAAGGCGGGTGAGGAAGGCACAAAGTGAACCCATCAACAGAATATTTCCTTCTCTGTCTATTCCTCTCTCCTCCTCTGGACATCTTCCCCTCGGGGTAAAGAGAAGCCTAATCAGCCCCTGGCACTAGATCGATGCTAGCGTCCTCCCCAGCTGTGGCTAATGGAGCACATACTCACTCATTATCTGCAAAAGACAACATTTTCTGGCTTCACACACATCCTGGCTTGAGTTGTTAATTTCTGTGAGTCAAACTAGAAATAACAATGGGAGAAACAGCAGCTAATAACTTGGGCTCCCATCCAGGCCCGCACGAGGCTATTACAGGCTATTTACACTCATTATTTGAGGGAACTATGAATGCAGCAATGAGTGCCACTTTGTTTTTACTATGCACATTTGTGGCGACACAGCCACCGCTGCTGCCGCAGCATTAACGTGAAGGCTTTTCTGTGTGGTGGCCTCATAAAAATCTGGAGGGAAATGGACCGACTGTGATTCACTGAAGCAAACAGCAGACTGCACCACTGCAGCTCTGAATGCTGCTTTTTTTAACCAAAAACTAGTGGGGAAAAATGACAAGAGTGTTCTCTTTTCAGATAACAGGGACTAAAAGGAGGGCCGCGTGAAGAATATTTAGAAGGGCGTGGACTCCTTTCAGTGGTTTTTTACAAAATTTAGGGAAATAAGATGGAGAGAGGGGGCTCTGAATCCTACAAATTAGGTTACATTCTCTAGTTAAGTACCAGTGAAAACAGTAGCTTAAACACAAACACCCACTAAGGTTATTTACACTGTTAAAGATGTTCAGTTGCAGTGAATGATCGATATGCTTCGGTATAAACATAATAACTGGAACAGACTTGGAGTTGTTCTCAAAACTTTAACGGTGGTGAGCTGCTTGAAATGCTTTGAACAACCTACAGTTTCAGTTTTATTTCTATAGCACATTTAAAAGACCAAGGTACACCAAAGTGCGTCACACGAGTGCCGCATTGCGGGATTACAACAATAGTAGAACAAAGAAAATACAGAATAGTTACAGGTAAGAAGCGCGGACCGGGTAGAAGTTAAAATCAAATTTGTTTTGAAGGCTAGCTTAAACAGGTGGGTTTAAACATGATTTGAAGGATTGAATGGATTCCGACACACGGATATCAACCGGCAGGCTATTCCAAAGTTTATGTGCAGCAATCGCGTCCCGATGCCCCCTAGTCTTCCGTCAGGACACTGGTTGCACTAAGAGCCATTGATTGGAGGATCTAAATGCTCTCTTGAGGATATAAAGGTCAAGGAGGTCGATTAAGTAGCTGAGCGACAAGTTATTTAAAATTATAAGTGTACAAAAGGATTTTTAAAACGATACAGGATTTGACAGGGAGCCAGTGAAGGTTGGCTAAGACAGGTGTGATATGATCGTGTCTTCTGGTGCCGCTTAAAAGACGTGCTGCGGCATTTTGGACTGGTTGGAGGCGTTGGATGAGGGAAAGTTGGAGGCCTAGATAAAGAGAATTGCAATAGTCCCATCTCGAAGTAATGAGAGCATCAATGAGCTTTTCTAGGTCTGTATGTCGTATGTCGGGCTTTGCCTTGGAAATCTGGCGTGGTTGGCTACCTGATAAGAACCCTAAAAATCTGTCTAAGAAGAACTTTGTCCACATCACACATACATCTGACCTTTTCTTCCTCTTTATTTCATTTTTTAGGTAATAAATAAAACACTGTCGCTTTTGCACAATAATCTAGTAGAAGATGATTTCATGTGTTATCTTTATTGGCTGGAAGTAGAAACAAAACGAGTGAAACTGAACTGGCTGTCATAACCAGAAGATTTTAAATAGTTTGTTTTTTGCATGATTCACTTGTTATTAGCTATGTTCATATAACACTGATTACTATAACAGCATGGACTCATGCTTAGGGATGTAGAGTATACTGGGAACATGGTACAGACAATGCAAGCATCAAGAACGTAAAACACGTTCTCATCCCAACGAGCAACATACTAGAGGTGGGAATCACCATACATCCCACGATACGATATTATC